ATCTATAAAGTATGAGAAAGCCTTGATTACAACCTTTAATCAATATAAGAGCAATAGAGAATATCACATAAACCATAAGGCCTCAATACCTTGCATGTATGGGCCATACCCCCTCTTTACTCCAAGATTAGGGCAGGCCCCTATTTCTAACTCAAGAAATATTTTTCCAAGGGAGAGAGATCTTAAAGAGAAGAGAGAGAGTTGAGAAGTGTGGAGACTTATGGGAGATAGGACCCTCTATTTATAGAGTTTTCAGAGGTTAGGGTTAGCCATCTTTAGGGAGATGAGATCCTAACAATTAATTAGAAGATACCTGTGGGATGAGAGATTTGAGTCATCCAATCTTTAGATCGGCCATTATGATTCAAATAAAGTGCTAAAACTTTATACTTCAGCTTCTTAAACTTAATCCCATCAAATAAAGAAATATAAGAAATATTATCAATCATATATTAATTTTTTATAATCATCTTACACATGATATGTTGATTAAAATCATTCTCTTTAATTTTAAATCCTTCTATTCTTGTTTCAATCAAAATATCTGCAAAATACTTTTTATAAATTTTTTCTTGTTTGATTGTTTCGATCCACAAGGACAGAAAATTAAGAAAGTCCTCCATTAGGTGGGGAGTGTCAACCATGGGAACCTTATATTGGCCCCACGAGCATCACAATGGTGAACTTAGTGGGCCACTATGGGCCCTCTCAACTATTTATAAATTATAAAATTATTGAAACAACTTTTCGTCCAGGCCAGGGGCGGCGCCGGCTTAGTCCACCGTTGGGTTGGGGTTGGGCCCAGGCCTAGTCACTAGGAATTTGCGTAGAGCCTAGGTTGTTTCTTAAACAAAATTTTTGGGGCCCAGGCCAACCGAATATTGTCCAGCTCGGAACCTAGGCCGTTAACAACCTTCCTTAATGCTCCAGTAAACCATTAGAGAGTTCCAAAAAACGAAAAACTCAATTTTTGTTGAGACCCTGTGGACCAATGTTATTAACTTCCTTGCGCTTTCGACGAAGCACCCTCAGGTGAAGCAATCCAAAGAAGGAAGCCTAGTTTTGGTTTGTTGTTTGCTATCGTTAAAAGAATAATAATTTTATAGGACCTTTCCCACCTGTATGCGCAGGATCCTAAATGATTATTATTAATAATTAATACTGATCTCTAAAAAATAATTATCACGTAAGTGTGAAACTTGACTTTTTTTAATCTTTGTATCAATTTTAATGGATATCCAACACACGAGAGAGAATCCTATAAAATCATTTTTCTTGTTAAAAATACGCAAAAATATTCAAAACTCAGTCTCCCTAAATATGCAAATGAATGCCACGTACACAAAGGAGTATGAAACACGTAAAGAGAAGGCCCTACCACGTGACCAACTTTGACAACCATGAAAGGTCAAAAGTCAAAAAAAATTACTGACATTTTTTTAATTAAAAAATACTATTCAAGTACCATGCTGCTAGCCTAATCATAATTATCCAAAAAAGAAATTGTAACCATAATCAACAATCGGGACTATTAATAAATCAGTTTATCATAAAATAAGAAAAAAAATCATTTTTATTTAAAAAAATCAGATGAAAAAATCGGATAAAAAATAAAGATTGACAAAAGTACTTCATATAAAAATATCACCAATATATCGGACTAGACTAAAAAATTTGAAATAAAAAAATCAGATAAATACATATAAAAAAAATACACCACATCAAACCAACTTAAATACATATCAAAAAGAATGGGGGAACTGCTACAAAATTCGTGGTAGGGGTTGAATACTTGTGAGTGGGAGGTAGTGGAGTGCCACAATTCCTCTTCTCATGTTGTGAGTCTCACAACATATGCATATGCATATGCATTCGATATCGATGTGCAACTATACCTCGTATTTTCAGGATTATGGAAGGAACTTATACAAAACTAGGTTTACGAGCAGTAAGAGCATCGAGGTTTCAAAGATAAACCACCAGCTCAAGAACAAGATTCTTGCAAACAAGGTTCGTTCTACTCCTCATTAAGGTTCATGTTTGTTATTTTTTTTGTAATTTTTCAATGGGGTTTTTCTCTATAATTTACAGGTTTCAAAGCTTGAGGTTCTAGAGATATAAACATGGTTTTTTTTTCATTTTTTTGGGTTTATTCTGTAAAATCAGCAAAAGATTGTGGTTCAATGGAGTTTTCTTTGTAATTTGCAGGTTTCAAAACTCGTGGTTCTAAAGAGAGAAACATGGTTCTTTTTATTTTCTTGGGTTTTTCTATGTAAAATCAATAAGAAATGTTTTTTTGGTCCCGTTTTATTCGTTTTTCCAAAAATCATGTTTTTTACGGTATTATGAAAAATACACATATTTCTTATTAATTTTTTCAAAAAAGTTCTGTTTTTTTAAAAAATATCTTTTTTTAAAAAAAAAAAATCGGTGATTAATCGTTGATTTGCTAACTAAGATCCTAACCGCATTAAAGATTGATAGTATTAAAACAAGTTTTTAAATATTTTACTTATTATTGAGTGTAGTAATAAATTTATATACTATTAATTTTAAATTTTTTCTTTTTTAAAATATTTCTTATTTATTTTATAATATATATATAAAAAGTGAAATCTTCGTTTGAATCAATCGATGCACCAAATTGTTTTATTTTTTAGATCAAAACGAACGTGACATTATTGTTTACAGTTTTACACCAAATTGTTGGGATACAGATGGAATGATGATGAATATTGGGTGCTGGGGACCATTTTCCTATCACCATCATTTGTGATCCCACACGTGAAAATGCACGTCACCAACTCCGCATCGATCTTATTCCCGCAATGAAATCATTTCATTGAAAGAGTGCTCCCTCGTGGGCGGCGTGCGAGTCTACCACATGCGATCTGATATTCAAAATTAAGCTTTACACTAGTACAAAGCTACAAAGACAACCCAAATAAGAGAGGAAAAAGTTTATATAAGGATGCTACTTTATAATGTAGAACTACGGATGCCCTTCAAAAATCCTAAGAGCTACGGATGCCCCTCAAAAATCCATTCGAAAAGATAGTTTTAATGTTGAAAAATTCGATCATCTTGGCATCAAGATCTATGATTATGAAAAATAAAAAGGTTTGAAGTTTTAAAAACAATGCATTTTACAATATATTATCTACACCGACCATTTTCAAGATTTTCATATGTTTATAAATCTACTTGATTTTAAGTATTTTTTAATTTTATAATTATATATAAAAATAGATTTTGAGATAATCCTAAAAACATTTTACATCAAAATTATATACCATGATAATATGTAGGCCAACTGCACCAGTAAGAGAATTATTTCATTCTCAATGCAAGAATGCCATGTGGGTGAATAAACACAAGGGAAATGTTTACATCAAGTGAGCCACTGACCATTTAATCTAGATCCGACAACTTAGATTATTTTATTTTAAATGTTTTTTTATATACTTCTGAAACTTTCATATGTTTTAGTCGTTTTATTTTATTGGAAATATTATTTTTTATTTTTTATAGGTACGAGTTCAAGAAAGGATCGGACGACCAAATCTTGGTGTCAAAATGTTTTGTATAAAAAAGATTAAAAATAAAATAATATTGAAGGTAACATTGTGATTGGGGACGTCTAAACTGTGCACTTAAAATGGACGGTTGGATAAGGTGAAATATAAAAAAAAAAGCATAAAAAGCTTGCCCTAAACGAGATTAAAAAATCATTCGATGGTCAATAGAAGATTGTTGAACACACGCAGAGAGAGAGAGAGAGAGAGAGAGAGAGAGAGAGAGAGAGAGAGAGAGAGAGAGAGAGAGAGTAGAGTAGTAGTAGTAGTAGTAGTAGTAGTAACGAA